TATGATCGGGTTTTTTGAATATCCCGGTTTCTTGATGGTGCATGTATACGCAGTAACCCGGTTTCAGTAACCCTGTTATGGCAGTATCCCGGTTATTAGATACCGGGTTACTGTAGCTGGTTTATTCCGATAGTAACTGGGTTACTTGTGGCATGTATACGCAGTACCCCGGTTACTGCAACATAAAGTTGAGTGCGCATGCGTCCAAAAGACACTTTCCAGCCTTTCACCACAACAGTAGTCACATAAATAAATTGACCAACATAAATAAGGTGACCAAACGAGTGAAATGACTGTAAAATAAAGAGCTGCACTAAACTTGCACACGTACAATCTGCACTCGTACGACCTGCACTCGTGTGATCGCTGAAAAGCTAAAACATGAACTATCTCCTATACTGTATACGCACGGAACACACTTACCATCATTAGCGCTTCTTCTGTCACAGAAATAACACGCATAATCTACAGAGTCGTGTCATTTAGTCCAAAAGAAGCTGATCGCATCAGCGGCACAAGGAGCGAGTTGTTTTTATCACCGCTAGCAGTTTATGCTAATTTGCCAAACGGTCTTAATTTTAATTTCTGTAAAACTTAAATGTGATCACAGCTGAATTATATGTTCAAACGGGCTGATGTAGCTCTATAGTGTTTATGGTTTATATGTTGTAACGTTGAGTCGGTCTCGGGTACTCCTGACAGCCATTTTTTCAAACTTTTGCTCCAGGCTGGTAAGTCGTTGCAGTCACTTCTGGTGTTAATCAGCTTTTCAGTCGCGTCAAAGCACGCAAAGATTTTGCTGATAATGGAATGGTCCACCTCCACGTTGCAGACCGTCTTTGTTGCCGGTGATTTTGCTTGTGACGGCGAGGTGGGCAGTGGTGGAAAGTCCTCCTTGAAGGATCCCATCTCCGAGCCGCACGCCGGCCGGCTGTAGTCATGTCCCGCTGCAACAAGCTCCCTAGTGGGACTATCCCGGCCAAGTGATGAAAAATTACGTTTGGGGAATATTCTCGAGGTTGTGGGCATTCTGCTTCCGCAACGACTCATTTTATGGTTATGGCTGAGACAAAGTAAGTTCCTTTTGAAAGTTTTTCCAAGTTTGGTGCGCAGCGTCTTTTAGTGATGTGTTAAAAATATCGATACAGCGATATATCGTTACAGGTCTCTTCATGGTACACGTATCGGCATCAGTATTGATATTTTATGTACATGGAACTGCACCTTGCAGTGCAATGTGCATTTCGACCACACACGGCGCTGCCGAGAGAGAGCGAGGGAAAACAAGCAAGCACGCAAATAGAATTTATCGTGGCTGGAAAAGTTAGAGCTCATTAAGTTATCGTACGATTAATCGATTTTATTATCGTTACAGGCCTATGCTGTGCCTCGTTTATCTGCTGAAGTGAAACACTGTGTATTCGATTCCATTTCAGAAGCAAGCAGAGTAGCCTTTACATGTGACGGGTGGACCTCGAGAGCAACACAGTCTTGCGTAACGCTAACATGCTACCACATTTCTCCAAAATGGGAAATGGTTTCACACGTACTCCAAACCAGAGTTATGTTTAGCAGCCACACCTGGTCAAATCTGGTGGAGTTACTGATAGAGGTGTTTGTCTTTGATCGCCCACTCCTCAAAGACCCAGTGTTGGTCACGTACAACGCTGCAAACATGGCTATTGCAGCAGAGCTTGTGAAGTTACTACACGGGAGACGCTTTGCTCATACGTTAAATATTACAGCTCAATGCGCCCTCAAGACCACCGCAGTTTCCAGGCTGTTGGGAAGGATTCACCAGATTGTTTCCTTCAGGAAAAGTTCACTCGCCAGCATGTCCTCCAGGAAAAGCAAAAGCTTCTGGACTTACCTGAGCACAAACTAATGACAGATGGAGCAGCGCATTTGATACGGTGTTTTCTTGAACAGCAACCTGCAATCTGTGCCACATTGCTCTCCTCTGAGGTGCGCAAGAATGCTAAGGAGCTGTAGTACTTTATCATAAGCGGGCTTGTCTAATGTTGAAGATGTTGCTGAATCCCTGCGCCCACTGAAAGTTGCAACTCTTGTGATGTCTGAAGAGAAAACACCACAGTGTCATCATTGCCCCTTTACAGGCACAACTGTGCCAGAGCATTGAGGAGCAAACGAATGACTGGGATAATAAAAGACAGTAAAAATGCACTGGCACAAGACCTGGAGAAGAGGTATGCCAACAAAACCTTCCTTCAGATGGCCTCAGCTCAGGACCCACGTTTTAAGGCGCCGCCCTTCATGTCAGATGAGGAAAGAAATGTCTTTGCCACATTTGGAGGAGAGGCAGCTAGAATATCACAGGTTAGTATTTTTACTGCTTTATTTTTATTTTATTTTATTTTGTAATGCATGATCAAATTATTACTTCTAGGGATGAGCACGATTAGTTGACTAATTGATAATTGATTATTATGAATTTTGTCAGTCACATTTCACTGTTTATGCAAATTAGCCATGCAGTTTCAAGTTTTGTTTCTGTAAAACATAAACAGCAAAGGTGCATTAAACACATGTCAAACGGGCTGATGTGGCTCTAGAGTGGTTATGGTGGTTTATATATTGTAAAGTTGATTGTATTTATGCAGATTAGCAATAGTAATGATGATGATCCGTAATCCCTAATTACTACTAAGGCTACTAACACCAATCTAACATTACAATAAAATGTTAATAAAAGTAATGTAAGCCTAAGTGACTTGTATGTATGACAACTTTTTAGTAATGTATTCCATTAGATTCCACACAACCTCCACCCTACAAAAACAACTGTGCTCTATTAGATTTGTTTGGAGAGACATTCTTGCTTCCGAAGCAACAGGTCAGTCACACTGCCATTGATCGGTCAATGAGTGAGATAAGGACATATAGAGAGTCAGAACCATTGGAGCTGTCTGATGTTCCACTGAGATGGTGGCGAAAGCATGAAGGTGTTCGTCCTCTTCTATCTCATCTGGCTAGAAATACTGTCTGTGTTCCAGGAACAAGTGTAGCAGCAGAGAGAATATTTTCCACTGCTGGTGACATAGTTACAGCTGAGAGAAATGTTATTAAACCAGCTGTTGTTTCTAAATAAGACTTGTTCTTGTTTCTTTTGTTTCTAAACAAAAACCTGCCAAGACAGCACAAGAAGTAGGTTACAAATTATTGTCATTTGATTTTGTCAAAGGCAGCTTTATTTTTTTGCACTACAGCCTTGTTAAGGCCATGTTTTAAGTTACTTATTTTTATATAATTGGCCCTCGCCACTAACAAACTTAGGGGTGAGGGGTATTGATCTTCCTCGGTTTAACAAAGTTAGGGGCGAGGGGTATTGATCTTCCTCGGTTTCTTTTTTTTATTATTCCCTTTTCCGACCAAACGATGGTCCCTACTCCTATGGGAGACTGCAAAGTTTGTCGCAGAGAAACGAAATTCGGAACAGTGATAGAGAACAATGAGACAAGCCAAAAGATGAATTAGAGCATGACCCTATGACGAACAGGAAGTCGGCCATATTGGATCAAACATTCGCCGCCGTTTTGACTTGGGTGTGTACAAAAAGATTCAAGTCTCCGGGGTTTTGTCCAGATGAGCTCAGATTTGACATGCCACATCTACAGACATGAACTCACAGAAGTTGCCAATTTTTTTTGGGATACTCCTTACGGTTCGCCCGTAGCACGCCGGCGAATAACGCCTTCCTTTCCTGTTTTTTCGGTGACCTGTCACGGCCACAGGCATTGTCCTCGAGAGCTCAAATTCAAATCACTATTGTGTGATCCAGGCCTGAATGTAATGAAATATGAAATTTAATAAAAGTGAACTCTATAGCGCCCCCTAGCATAGACATGAAGTGTCAACATTATCGGATTTGTACCAAATTTGGGGATTAAATTCTATGTATGAATACAAGCAAAAAAGTCTATTACGGACATGATGCATTTTTCACGATTGGCCAGTAGGGGCGCAAAGAATCCCCCAAAAAATATTTTTTTAATTATTACAGGGACATGCTTAGTTCGATTGTGTTGAAATTTGAATCACTAATGCGGGATTTTGGCCTGAATATAATAAACTATAAAACATATGAAAAGTGAACACTATAGCACCCCCTACCTTAGACATGAAACATCAACAATAGCGGATTTGGGCAAAATTTGGGAATTCAACTCGAAGCACAGTTACAAGCAAAAAAGTCTATTGCAGACATGGGGCATTTTTCACTGTTGGCCAGCAGGGGTGCAAAGACTCCACCAAAAAAATTGTTAAAAAATGATTACAGACACAGGCTGAGTCCGATCGTGCTGAAATTTGAGTCACTCGTGCCTGATCACAGCCTGAATATAATACACTATAAAACACATAAAATGTGAACTCTATAGCGCCCCCTACCATAGACATGAAACATCAGCATTGTCGGATTTGTACCAAACTCAGGGATTAAATTCTATGCATGATTGTGAACAAAAAAGTATATTACGGATATTGGACATTTTTCATGGTTGGCCAGTATGGGCGCAATGACTCCTCTGAAACATTTAAAGGTACACTGTGTAATTTTTCTGGTGGACGAGCTGCCGGGAAGAAAGAGTGGCGTGCCGGGGCGGTCGCGAGCCCCCGGCGGTCGCATAGGGGGGCAGTGCGCGCCGGGGCGAGGGGCACCATCGCCGCGCGTGGCTTTAATTTGATATTGTTCTTATACTATATCTCTATAGTTTTGTTATTACAGCATTACGTTGCAACTGCATTGCAGTCTTGAATTGTTGCTATACAGCATAATAAAAATATTTGGGTGTGTGTGTATATATATATATATATATATATATATATATATATAATTTCTGTTTTCTGCTCAAGCTGCCATCTTACCCAGAAGTGCCAGGTCCCCTTTCTTGGCATATTTAACCCAATTTGGACTTCTGATGTCTTTTGCCCCTTTTCCAGACCTCTTGCCCTGCTTTAGGTCTCCATGCAAAACTATAATTTCATAAATTTGAAAATGAGGAACGCTTCACGAATTTGCGTGTCATCCTTGCGCAGGGGCCATGCTAATCTTCTCTGTATCGTTCCAATTTTAGTATATGTGTTAGCGAACTAACACAACATTGATGGGTTTTCGGGTGGTTTATAAAGGTCTGAAGAGGGCCTGTTTGTACACTTATGGTCGTGACGGAGTGAAACGCCTCCTCCCACATCATCCAGTCAGAGCACGTCCTTTGTTCATTGCGTCAGCCTTCCGTCTGTGCTGAATGACCGGGGGAAGGGCAGACATACCCATTAACATCCTACTGACGGCTGACTTTACCATCCCCCATGGGGAAATAGCTCAAATGGTAGAGTGCTTGCCTAGCATGCGAGAGGTAGCCAGAGTTGTGGACATTTAAACAAAACACCATCAAAGTAGATGGTCGAAGCACCCCCCTTCATGTTTAGAATGGACTAGTCTAAGAGAACGCACTGAGCGGGAGGAGCCCTGTTGCCGCTGCTGTAGTTTCTGTGTTTACAAAACGGGCAGACATCAGACTATTGACTGACCTTTACTTGCTCTTTGGTGTGCCATGAGGATGTCTGTGTGCTGAGGTAGGCAAAAGATTTACTTTACTTTTCTAGCTTTATATTCTCTTAACACAAATACACATACAAAATTTGGTAGGCCCATTTGTGTTATCTATGACAAATAAAATGTTATTGTTCCATACCAGTTGTCAAGGGGGCACTGTTGCACCCATTTTTGTATTTTCTTACATCAATCTGTTCAGGGTTGGGCTCTGCACCCACCAGTAAAATTTGACTGAGATCGGTCAAAGTTTGTGCAGATTCCTAGAGGGCGCTATTGCACCCATTATTGTATTTTCTTATAGCAATCTGGTCAGGTTCTGGGTGTGAACCCACGATTTAAATTTGACTGAGATCGGACAAAGTTTGTGCAAATTCCTAGGGGGCACTATTGCACCCATTTTTGTATTTTCTTACATCAATCTGTTCAGGGTTGGGCTCTGCACCCACCAGTAAAATTTGACTGAGATCGGCCAAAGTTTGTGCAAATTCCTAGGGGGCGCTATTGCACCCATTATTGTATTTTCTTAAATCAGTCTGTTCATTGCTGACCAAATTTATTTGGCTCTCCAACTGATGTCGGGATGTCCCCCATAAGTGCAATGTATTTTGACTTTTCCAGGTGGTGCAGTCTGGCCATTTGTTTTTTTATTTTTTTTAATGCCAAGTTATGCAACACATTTTTATATTGAATTTTTCAGCACACTTTAGGGGTGTGTGTGTACTGTATGTGTGTAACTGATGTAACTCTCTCATCTTTATCTCAAGAGACGGCGCCAATGCCTGGCATTTTCAGGCATTTCTCCTGGGTAGGTTGGTGCAGTGGAGTGAGAACCGGGCAGTATTCATGGCAGAGGAAGAATGCCTGCTCCGCTCATACGGTAGCCCCGTGCAGCGTTCCCTCAAAGAGCTTAGCTGATAGGTGCTAGGCAGGAATCTCTTCGAGGACAACACCGCGAACTGTTTGATCATAATTTCAAAAAGAATTCCAAATTCAGCCAGTAGTATCAAAAGTGTTGTGTGCTTTGTGTCTGTGTGTTGCATTTTAGGGGAGCTCATAGGTATTGAGTACCTGTACATGCAGACGGGCCGAGCACTGCAGGCCGTCAGCTTGGACCCTGGCGCTCCGGACATGGACGAGATGGGGAACTTGCTTCCCGCACCCTCTGAGGACCCTCAATTGGATGGCGCCCCTGAAAAGTTGGAGGACCTGTCTGTTGCTCCACCGGGCGACTTCCCCGAGCCTCAGAGGGAGCCGTGGTCATGGGCTCCAGCTGACCTAGCACCTGCGCCCGAGCCCGCTCTCCACTCCCCCAGGACGATCCTCTGTACCTCCTCAAGAGCCAGCTGAGGTGAGCATCGGTTCTCTGTACATGCGTGGAGCTCATCATTTGACTAATTACTCTGTATTCCTCTTGGTTTTGTGTATGTGTGCAGGAGTACAGAGGACCAGATGACCACCCTGGGTACCTGGCTGGCTGGCTTTAGTGGGGCTGCGGGAGCAAGCAGCCTTGTCCGAGAGGGGGTTAGATCAGCTAATTACCATGTATGAATAGGCCTGTAACGATAACAGATTTTGCTGGACGATTAATTGACCAAGAATTTCTTGCGATAAACGATATTAACATTTTGAGACCAGTTTCAACTAATATAATGACCATGGAATAAAAATGCAAACACATATTTTCAAAGATCAATAAACCTTACTTTCTAAATAACATTTAACACAGGAACTGTAAGATAACTAAAAACAATGAGCGGAACTAAAACAGATTTGTTAACATAAGAATAGCCTAATGTAGTCTGGCTTACAGCAAGTACTTGTTAACAAAAATGCACTTGAATAAACCATTGCTGAACCAAACACTACCAAAGCAATAAATAAAATTGATTACTAAGTCTCTTTAACAAAATTGCCCTTAAAAGTTATTTTAGTCACTGACTTGCGTTAGAATATTGTGTCTTGTCTCTCTGTGGCTGCTGCTGTGAGTGTCTCGTGTTTCTGCACTTGCAGAATATTTCGCGCGCATCGCGCTCGTGTTTGATAAACACAGCGTCATTATGCTTGTTAAACGAGAGGAGTCAGAGAGCGATAGAAGCCTCTTGTAACATTCACCCTCTTTGAGAGAGAGCGAGAAAGAGAGAGCGAGGAAAACAAACAAGCATGCAAATAGAATTTATCGCGGCCGGCCGGAAAAGTTATCGAGCTCGTTAAGTTTGCGTACTATTAATTGATTTATTGATTATGGTTACAGGCCTATGTATGACGCCTTGTCCTCCTCAAGACAAAGCCCGGATGAATTGCCCTCTCGCTTCCAGAGACCGGCTAACTCTGGGGCAATTCAAGTGCCTGACTTGAATTGCCCCAGAGTTCAAGTCAGGCAAGGCTTCCCACCCCTGCGTACTAGTGGTGGTATAAAACGGTAAGCTCACAGAGTAAATCCACATGTTGGGTCAAAGCAGCTTCATGTAATGCATGGCCTTATGGGTGACTACTGCCCTTTCTATTCCGTTTTTATAGCTACCTGACTGGGGAAAATTCAGGACCTGCCACCTGGCCCGGTGTGCACAGAACTGTGTCTCATCTACTCGGCCTCCACTTAGAGGGGGGATATCTTAATGTACTACCACCATATCCGCAACCTTGTACTGGGCAGCCAGTGGTTGAACACTCGGGAGCTAATTCAGCTGGCTGAGATCAACCAGAGGATGCTCTGGTCAATTTCAACTACACCACAGTTGGATACATAACTAAAATCTGTCCTTGAATTACTTTTTGTATTTTTTAGGTACACAGCAACCCTGCGGGAGAAGGAGAGGTTTCTGTTTGCACCGGGACCAGGCGCTGCAGCAGGTGGACACCAAGGTCCAGCACCACCACCTCCACCGGTGGTGGACCAGTGCTGGTGCAGAGTGGGTCCATTAGAGGCAGCTCCAGCGGTGGTGCACACTGGCCTGGCAGCACCAGGAAAGCCAGCCCTTGTGCCCCAATCACTACTAGCACCACTGCTGCACCTTGCTGATGATGTTCTAGCTGCATCACCAGCTGCTGTTGCTGCTGCAGCAGGTCCTTTGTCGCAGGCCACAGAGCCTTTCCCAGACCCCTACCTGCCCCAGCGGAGGCCTTGCTGCCTCTCGGACCTTGCCAGTGAGACAGCATCCCCTCCTGTCAGCTCCGCCCGCACACGGTCTGTCCGCTGCCGCACAGCCCCCAAAACCAACCAGGGATGCACCCAGGTCAGCCTCGACAGAAGGAGAATGGACACTTCCGCCACAGGCGGATCTATGTGTGCACGAGGAAGGCCGACTGGTAGAGAGAAGCAGGAGAAGAACCCGGGTTGAGCTCCCAGAACTGCTTACACCCACCTGCTGGGGCAGATGGTGTGAATAGTTTGTGTGTGTGTAAATAGTTCCCCTCCACCAGGACCGGGACCTTGACGTGGTGTGGAGGCTTACCACCAACACCGGTCCACACTCACCTGGATATCTGTAGTGAGTCACAATTTTCACTGACATCGACAAGGAATGTGATGCAGCCCTTCTGTGTAATGATGACTCGGCTGTAACCATGTCATGTTTTAATTTTTTTTGCAAAGCTTACTTTTAGAATTTACTTTTTTTTCTCTTTTTGCAAAACACAACAACTATATTTTATTGGTATGTTTGATTTTATTTATTTACTATATTAATAATAATAATAGTGCTGTCATGCGATTAAAAAAATTGAGAGATTAATTATGATCTGTAATCTCATTTTAATCTCACCTAAAAATTGCTGAGAAAAGCCGTCAATTTGAGGTATTTTCATTTAAATTCATTATTACATTATTGTGGCAGATCAAAAGACTGATAAAGAACAAAAAAAAGTGACTTTATTAAGTCATTTATTGTTTAACAAATCTCTTCATATTTCCTGTTTAGCCCAAGTCTCCATGAATAAGAAACTGTTTGCTGTAAAGTAGCAAAGACGAGGAAATCTGAACATAATAACTTTTGTTTACTTAAAGACAATAAAAAGATCTTTCCTTAACCATATTAAAAATATTATTGATAGAGAAATGCTTTATATATGAGATCACTGGTTTTAGTCCTTGTTTTAGTCCTGGTTTAGACCTGCTTTAGTCCTACTTTAGTCCTGGAATGGGTTAGTCCTGGTGTTAGTCCTGGTGTTAGTCCTGGTTTAGACCTGGTTTAGTCCTGGTTTTAGTCCTGGTGTTAGTCTGGTTTAGTCCTGGTTTAGACCTGGTTTAGACCTGGTGTTCTGGTTTAGACCTGGTGTTAGTTCTGGTTTAGTCCTGTTTTAGACCTGGTTTTAGTTCTGGTTTAGTCCTGGACTGGGTTAGTCCCGGTTTTAGTCTTGGTGTTAGTTCTGGTTTAGAGGCTCACAGGAGGAAGCGCGGTTTACGCAGCGTACGCGAGAAAACATGCGCGGCTCACGGGAGCACGTCGGTGTCCGTGCAGTCTCAGGTTAATGACAATGATGAAGGTGTGTGTTTGTTTGTGTGCGTGTGTGTCCCCTCATGTGGCAGGTCACTATAGGACAGTAGTGCAGACATCATGAGTCTATGCAGATTGTTTTCACCAGTGACATTTAACTTGTAGGCGATTTTATATTTGTTATTTTCTTCTATATTTCACGTCGGGAGAATTTCCAAGACACAAATGTGTTTTTACCTGAGCACTGCTGCCTCTGTTCTACTGGCTCTTCGACCTCATCCACTGTGCGACTGACGCCGCCAACGTTACCATAACGTTTACATCGCTCTTACTGCGCGAGTTTTGTGTGGGTTTCCGGCAATGAGTGGAATTACCGAAATAAAAAAAATATATAAATGTGTTTTTTTTTTGTGTGTGGTGGTGTCCCAACAACGCATAAAAACAGGTTTTATAATAAAGCAACTCGCATACAGGAACAGTAAAGTTAGAGATTAAAAATGAGATTAACGCGATTAAAAAACATAATGCGCTAAATATGACTAATTAATTAATCGCAATTAACGTGATAATTTGACACCCCTAAATAATAATGCATTGTTTTATAGTTGTAATTTGTAGCACTATATAATAATGTATGTGACAAATTTGAACTTTGAACATTATTCATTTTCGTCATCAAGCTGTATTAAATAATTCTGTGCATATGTGTAAACATTAATTATACAGAATAGTACATGACAATCATATTTTTCTCTTTAAGTACATTTAATCTACATTTTTGTCTGTCATAATATATATATATATATTATATATGTCATATATATAAAATATATTTAATAAAACAATGCTACACTTAAAACAAACCCATAATACACAATAGTGGAGCTGTTAAGGACAAAAAAAAAAGTGCCCAAGTGTTCACTTTTATGGTACAAGCATGAAATTTTGCCAGATTATTAACATCCCTAGGACCAACATTTCTGGATATGGAACCAAGCCCAAGTCGACCCTGGAGCCGAGTACCATGCATGTCACAAAATGGTTGATATGGAAACGAGGCTGGTAGAGAAATTACTGTGTAAACCGCTTTTTTTTTTGGAAAATAGTGTTAAATTATCACACATTATCACTAATGCTTCCACTTCTGCAGATATGAGTAACCCCAGACTCGTGTGGTACTGGGAAATAAGCAGGAATCTTATATTGGTTATTTATCACAGTGTTAAAAGGCTCCGGTCTGTGTGGTGAATAAATGATGATGTGAAGAGTCAGAAACAGAGAAATTAAAAGAAAACATCTAAGATTGAACTACAACTGGACAATGCAGCATAAAACATAAAGGTGCACTATAACTTTTTGGTCGGGGGACTGCCACCTGCTTGTTTCTATGAAGATGTCATTATGTTCCACAGTATGGCATTAAACTCTACATGTATTGAGTTAGAGGTGGTTTTACAGCTCAACAATACCTGTAAAAACAAACATTCTAACTGGTCTGGCTTGGTGTAACACTGAAACATTCCAGACAAAGCAATGACATCTCCGTCCTTATGTCTCATTTAGAATCATATGTGTGGTACAGGAAAAGTAGTAGTATAATCTTATATTGTTTTTTCATAGCACAGTTAGAAGGCTCCAGACAATATGTAAGCAAAGGATAAATACTGTGAACAGGCAGAAATAAAAAGAGAGATTTAAAAGAAGACATTTAAGATTGTACGATATCTGGAAAATGCAGACAATAAGCTTCAGTGTCTGGACAATGGTCCCTAATTTAAGTTTTTCAAGAAAAATATGTATAAAAATTATATTAGTTTAGCTAAATCTTATAAAGATATACAGTAACACAAAAAATATATATAGTGCATTATTATAAGGCCTTGTGAAGCTATCTTAGCTTATTTCATTCTTTCGATCATATGTATGGTACTTGGAAATAAGTATTTAAAAGAAGGCACTGTAACAAGTACTACATCTGGACACTACACATAAACAGCTTCAGTGTTGACAATGAAGTCATTAAAGTTATTAAAAGTGTAGTTGAAATACTTTTAGTACCACAAGGTCATTAAATGGACTACCTAGAAATTACATGAAGTTTTCGCAGCATTAACATCTCCATGGAAAAAGCATTTGAAGGACCCTCCATCTGAAGACATACATAATGTACTTGTTTTATATTATTATAATATATATATATGTATAGGTTTGAGAGTTCTTCTTTATCAAAAACCCAATAAATATGTCTTTGAAAGATAAAATATTTTATTAACTTGGATTTCAACCACAGGGAACCCACACAGCCCTTATATTCTCAAGGAAAATGGTCACGTGACCTCCTTAAAGCTTTGGAGTTTAGAAAAAAATAGTTCATCATTACAAAATGGATAACTAAGCAAATTAGACTATAAGAAAGGGATTATGCAGTATTTTTTATGACTGTCTCGTTTTCATCTAGTCCATTTTGTGACATGTGCAGTTCTCAGCTCCAGTGTTGAATTAGACTTGGTTCTATATCCAGAAATATTAGTCGTGGGGGTATTACCAATCTGGCAAAGTTTCATTCTTAACAGCTCCACTACAATACAATTACTTTAAATACTTAAATCACGAACTACATGACTAATCATACTATTAGTTAATATAATAGTAGTTAATAGTAGTATTGTCCGAGTTGTCGGAAACGTCATCGACAAATTCGTTCAACTGATTGGTAGGCTTGTCGATGTCGTCACAGTGGCGATTTTCTCGATTTGCGCAGGCGCACAAACAGGTTTGGCGAGGCCCGACCGACCTATCACAGCTCGGCATTTGTCGATGACGACATCAACAAACCTACCAATCAGTTGAACGAATTTGTCGATGACGTTTGTGGATGCGGATGTGGTCCGTACAACAAGTTCACGGCATCTGGTTCACGGTAATACATGCAACCAGAGATGTTAAAACAAGAGACTCCAAAAATATTAAGGAAAAAATAGAAGAAATTTCTAAAAGTCTAATTCACTGGTTAAAAAGGGATCTGACTATTCTGGGCCGAAATCAAAATCAAAAGGTATCAAAACTGGTGTATCCAAGCTATTCACTTTATATTACTCCACAAGATATCCACAAAATAAATACTATAATATACCAGTTCATTTGGCGCAGTAAAACGCATTACATTAAAATAATCACAACTTGTCAAGGATTACAACAAAGAAGGGTTAAAAACAGCTGACTTTGAATCCATGGTGGGTGTTTTCAGAATAAATTGGATAAAAGCTTTCTTAGCCCAACCTGAATCTATTTGGTTTAATATTCCCAAGAATGTTTTTAAGTAAGTGGATGCATGGTCTGGAATTTCTTTTAAAATGTGATTTTGAAAGTATCCAAGTTACCTGTAAAACTGTCTGAATACTACAAACAGATTCTCCATTATTGGAAGATGGTATTTACCCAGAACTTTACACCACATGGCTCCACCTTACAGAACAACAGAACAATTACATCAATAGGAAAACATCCATTCAAAAATGCTGCGAAAAAAAATGTAATCTTTGTCACAGACATATTAGACATGCAAGGTCAATTCCTTCATTTGAAAGAATTTGAAACCAAATTGAATATACAAAGTTCTAATAGGGAGTATAAAAAGGTTTGCAAAGCTATACCCACTGCCTTATTAAACTTGATACAAAACTAGTTACATTATCCAAAAGGACAAATAATGTTGCCTAAATTAAAATGGACTCAAATTCCCTTAGATGATTAAAAAAAAAGTAATAGTAAAATTATTAATAAAATATTCAAAGGTAAATTATTTAATCATTTTGAGAGAAATTAAAATAATTGATCATGGTGATGGCAATATAACCACTAAGTATATAAAATTTATGAAATTGCTGATACCCCCCAAAGAAAAAGAAAAGAAAGCAGTTTAAAATCATAAATGGCTACTATCGAACAGCAACGATGCAAAAGCAAACAGAAAAAAGGTTTGGTTTTGAGGTGGAGCCATGTGTCTTTTGCTCTCAAGAGGAGGAAACAATCAAACATCTCTTTTTCTCCTGTGACAGGACAAAAACTTTTTGAAACAATATCATAAATTGGTTGAATATTAAGATGGTCGTAATTGTTCAATTAAAATTGGAGCAAATACTATATGGTATGAACAAATGTCTAAACCATATATTGAGACTTTGCAATATAATTATAATTATGGGCAAATACATAAAAGTAAATGGCAAAACTGAAATTCGTCTCTTTAGCTTCTATGTCGCTGGGACTCTGACAAGGACATACAATTACTTTGTGATGATGTGTCCAAATATTTATGTTTTGAATCTTAAAACTGTGCGATGACAATGTGTGCACTGAATGTAATGGCTTATATAGACTGACCTTGCTCTAAGTTTTATTGTATTGTATTGTAAATGTTTTAAAATGTACATGTAATCCAGTGTTATCTCCCATCGAGAGTTATGTACATTTCATTATGTAAAAAAAAACAAAAACATGTCCTTGTAAATATTTCAATATTATATGATTGCAATGTTGCATGGTTCGTAATGTTGCCACACCTTAAGAACAAATTTGACATTTTTTGCGGGT